AAAAAAAAAAAAAAAAAAAGTCAACTATCGCATAAATACACTGTTGTAACTTAAAAGGAGAAGTTTTTTCCTTATTCGTCCATTTGTAACTAAAATGTAAGAACGTGCGTAGAACCATCATACTGTAAGGTCATCTCATCACCGTATTTAGAAATTTACATTGAATTGTCCTTATTTGTAATTGTTTACGAAGGTTCCACTAATTTTGACTTGAAATGAATGGTTCAACCATAAATAAATAAATAAATAAAATTATATATATATATATATATATATATATATATATATATATATATATATATAAATTTTATACTTTTGGCGTTTATAAGGTCAATTATTCGATTGGGAAAATAATTAATTCATAAAAAATAAAATTAAAATGTTTAAAATGCCAAATCACACAGATGAAGACAATAGAGTCAACGACGACCCCTGTAATTTTTCAAAATAAAATTAAAAAAAATAAAAATAAAAAAATAAAAACCTTTTTTAGGGGTTTTAAATTGGCACTAAATGAGCTTTTTTATTTATTTATTGAAATTAAATTACAGCTTGTTATTTTTTTTATTTTATTTTTTATATTTTATTAATTGATTTTTAATTAATATTTCATTGACTTGAGATTTTTGAAAAATCCTTTTTAATGACTAAACTTTAAATTTTGAAAATTACTTTATTTACTCCCAAAGTTTTAATAAGTCTCAATCATTAATATATTTTATAAAATCGGATGGGTCAAGTCATGTCGAATTAATTAATATTTAAAGCGTGATTAAATTACATATTTACTCCGTAAAATTTGATTATTCAACTTGCCTAGCTCGGAAATTTTGGGAAGTTTTGATTAGGTACTTTAACTGAACTTTAATTTAAATAAGTTTCTAATATTACTCAATATTGACGATAATCGATATATATTACTTCCGGTAGAGTTGGAGATTCAAATCTCATCCCCGTATTTGTTGTACTAAAGAATAACGTAAGAAAATAGAAGTGTTAAGCAACTTTTAGGTTTTTTATCGTTAATTCATAAGTGGAAAATTTTGTTTGCTTATGTGAACAAATCTATACACACCTAGAGCGTTGGTTAACTATATATGTTGCCAAGCGAGAATGCTACAAATGGTATTAGAGCCACAAGGAGCCAAATAACGGACAGTGTTACAAATGGTATTAGAGCCAAATAACGGGCGTTGGTTAACTCAATATTGACTTGGAATGTTACAAATGGTATTAGAGCCAAATAAGGGGCAGTATGCCAATGAGAACGCTGGCCTCCAGGGGAGTGAATTGTGAGGCCCCACATCTGTCAGAAAGAAGAATGAGGAAACAAAACATTCCTTATAAGGATGTAAAAGATCCAACATCGGTTAAAGAGAGGAACGAGAGGAATGAAGCATTCCTTATAAGGATATAGAAACCTCTCCCGAGTAGATGCATTGTAAATTCGTGAAGTTGAAGGCGATACGTAAAAAGTAAAAACTGACAATTTATGCTAGCGGTAAGCTTGAGCTATTACACCTAACCTCCAAATTTTCGATTACGAACTTTAAATTTAACGACAAAAGCATAGAGCGTTGTATTGAAATAAATTTGAAGGATTAAAATGAAAAGTTTAAAAGTTTTAGACATTATTGAAAATTAACCAAAAGAAATTTAAACATTATAAAAGGAAGAGAAATGAATAGTGAGGAAAGCAGCTGTTAGGCGCGAGAGGAAATCCAGTACGCAATTCCACCAATGGGTGATTTACACGTCATTTAACTTATACTAAAAATTCAATTATTTTTCTGAAAAGATACAAATACGAACGATATTGAAACTCAAGACAATTCAACTCTCTTTCGTACCTCTCTTTCCTCTCCGTCTTCTCTCCCAAAACATTCCCCTCCCAAACAGAGATGAACTTCAACTTGATTTTCATCCTCTTCATCTCTTTCCCTTGATCCTCTCGAAAAACTTCCATTAAAGCCAACCGGAGAGACTCTTCCACCTTCTTCTTTGACTCGGAACGTTTTCTTCTGACAACAGGGAAGGTGCGTTGTTTGCTCTTGTTCTATTGTTTAACTTCTTTTTTATCGGTGGTGGTGTGATTTTCTATCTAGTTGCTTGAAATAATTTCTGGATTTTCAAACTGGTTTAGTTTTATGTGTAGATTATGATGGTTTTTGTGAAATGGGTTCCTCCCTTGACTTTTTTTGTTGTATAAAGTAGCTATGGAAATGGTTCTTATGTCTAGTTGATTATTTTGGAGATGTTCTTGTTGGGGAATGGCTGGTTTGGGCTGCTGAATCTGGGTTTGAGGTGGGGAGGTATATTGCACGCCAAGTGTTTGTTAAAAGTCCAAGGAGAATTTAGAGAATGCTTGGTTTGTGAAGGAAATATGTTATGCGTCAAGATGCTTAAGAAGCTAAATTGATAGACTCCGCTTGGGGGAATTTCGTGGTTTTCTTTCTTGATTTGTTTTAGTTGGGAGAGAATTTGTGATGATTTTGCTTTGAAGGATTTTTCATCTCTCTTTTTGAAGATTCTGTATATACTTTTTCTACAATATTTGCATGTTTGATTCATTTTGGAATCTAAATGAATTCAATCCCTTTATTCCTTTGTTTGGATTTTGTGGATACTTTTATTTTGGTTCTACAGATCACATGGTTCCATTTGATTAAAGGAAACTTGAAAAGATAAAATTGAAGAAAGAAAACGAAGTTCGATATAGTAATGAAGCAAATACCTCGTTTCAGTTCCAGGTGAATTTTCTTGAACCAACTGTGTGGAAGTTGATCGTTGAATGGGTAGCCTCAAGCTAGGAGTGGATGTAGTGGGTGCTCATGATCTTATGCCAAAAGATGGGCAGGGCTCAGCCAATGCTTTTGTTGAGCTTCACTTTGACAATCAAAGAGTTCGTACCACCACTAAGGAGAAGGATCTCAATCCTATTTGGGATGAGAGCTTCTACTTCAACATATCAGATCCACAAAATCTGTCCAGACTTTCTCTAGAGGCCTTTGTCTTTTGTTATAACAGAGCCAGCAACAGCCCGAAGCCTTCCTGTCTCGGAAAAGTTCGTCTAACTGGGACCTCGTTTGTCTCGTATGCTGAGGCTGTTCTTTGTCATTATCCTCTCGAAAAACGAGGCATTTTCTCGCGAACTAAAGGAGAGCTTGGCCTTAAGGTCTATGTAACTGATGATCCTTCTAAAAAGCTTTCGAATTTACTTCCTGCAGTGGAATCTTCTGTAGAAAAGAATCCTTTTCTGGTTCCAATTGCATCTGAACACCAATCAACGACACAGAAAGTTCCAAACTTCGTAGCGAGTCTGTTTTCAAGCGATAAAACTGGATCGAGACAGACATTCCATCACCTTCCCAATGCAAAGCAGCCTACCCTGGAGCAACAGCAACAGCAGCAGCAGCAGATTGTACCACCAGCTGTGACCTATGGAGGATATGGTATGAGACCTGAGCCAATGGTTGCAAATACTGTTCAGGCATACCCAGGATCATCATTTAAATATAATGATTATTCAATTAGAGAGACAAGTCCTTACCTTGGTGGTGGGATGGTTGGTCGAGGTCGTGTCGCTCTTGGTAACAGACCTGCAAGTTCACATGAACTTGTAGAAAAGATGCAATATCTTTTCGTACGAGTCGTGAAAGCCCGTGATCTTCCTTCCAAGGATTTGACTGGAGGTTTAGATCCTTATGTTGAAGTGAAACTTGGGAACTTCAAGGGAACTACGAAGCATTTTGAAAAAAATTCAAATCCTGAATGGAATGAGGTATTTGCCTTCACAGGGATGACTGTGCAATCAACAGTGCTCGAAGTTACTCTTAAAGACAAAGATACCTTAAAAGATGATTATGTTGGGCGTTTGTACTTTGATCTTCATGAAGTTCCTACTCGAGTTCCACCCGAAAGTCCATTGGCTGCAGAATGGTATCGCCTCGAAGACAAGAGTAGATCGAAGAAAAAGGGAGAACTAATGCTTGCTGTATGGCATGGCACGCAAGCTGATGAGGCTTTTCCGGAGGCATGGCATTCTGATGCTATCTCTCCTACCGATGGTACTTCGATCATTCCAGCATTTACTCGCTCGAAAGTTTATCATTCACCGAGATTGTGGTATGTTCGTGTCAATGTTGTTGAAGCTCACGACTTGATTGTACAAGATAAGTCTCGTTTTCCTGATCCATATGTGAAGGTACAAATTGGCAGCCAATTTCTAAGAACAAAAACAGTGAAAACTCAAACAATGAATGCCTTGTGGAATGAAGATCTGATGTTTGTTGCTGCTGAGCCTTTCGAAGACCATTTGATCCTTTCTGTTGAAGACCATATTGGTCCCAACAAGGCTGAAACTCTAGGTATGGCTGTTATTCCACTGAATTCTATTGAAAAGCGTGTTGATCATCGAACTATCCGCAGCCGATGGTACAACCTTATGAAGTCTATGTCAGATGCTGTGGAAGCAGGGGAGGCAAATAAAGAGAAGGATAAGGAAAAGGCCAAGTTCCATAGTAGACTCCATCTTCGCATTTGCCTCGAGGGTGGATATCATGTGCTCGACGAGTCGACTCACTGTAGTAGTGACCTCAGACCCTCATGGAAGCAACTTTGGAAGCCAGCAATTGGTATATTGGAGCTTGGCATCCTGGGTGCTGATAAGCTTCATCCAATGAAAAATAGGAATGGAAAGGGTACAACTGATTCATTTTGTGTGGCGAAGTATGGTCAGAAATGGGTTCGAACTCGAACAATAATCGACAACTTAAGTCCAAAGTTCAATGAGCAGTACCACTGGGAGGTTTATGATCCTTCCACAGTCCTAACCGTTGGTCTTTTTGACAATGGCCATACTGGTGAATCCAACAGTAACAGGGACACAAAAATCGGGAAGATTCGGATCCGTATTTCGACTCTCGAAACTGGTCGCATATATACACATGTATATCCATTGCTTGTCCTTCACCCTTCTGGTGTCAAGAAGATGGGTGAGCTGCACCTTGCCCTGCGGTTCTTGTGCCCATCGCTTATGAATTTGATGCTCACGTATTCAAAGCCCCTATTGCCAAAAATGCATTACATTAGGCCCTTATCTGTGTCTCAACAGGAGTCACTCCGACTTCAGGCCGTCAACATCGTAGCTGCTCGGTTTAGCCGGGCTGAGCCTGCTCTTAGGAAGGAGGTAGTTGAGTACATGTCTGATGCAAATTCTCATCTTTGGAGCATGAGACGTAGCAAGGCCAACTTCTTCAGGATTGTATCGGTTTTTTCGGGATTAATAGCAGTGGGAAAATGGTTCGGAGAAGTGTGCTTGTGGAAAAACCGAATCACTACAGTGCTGGTTCATCTTCTCTTTTTGATGCTAGTTTGTTTTCCTGAGCTGATCCTTCCCACAATTTTCCTCTACATGTGTGTTATAGGAATTTGGAACTGGCGTTACCGCCCTCGGAACCCTCCACATATGGACACCAAACTCTCTTATGCAGACACAGTGCACCCCGATGAGCTTGACGAAGAATTCGACTCGTTTCCGACGAATCGTAGTCCAGACATCATTCGAATGAGGTACGATCGGATGAGATCTATAGCAGGAAAGATCCAAAGCGTGGTTGGGGATGTGGCTACTCAAGGAGAACGAATTCAAGCACTGTTAAACTGGCGAGATCCTCGTGCAACAGCCATATACATAATTTTTTGCTTCATTGCTGCTCTTGTGGTGTACGTAACGCCCTTCCAGATGCTGTCCCTTCTCACTGGTTTCTACGTTATGAGGCATCCTAGATTCAGGAATAGAACGCCATCAGTGCCTATGAACTTCTTCCGCAGGCTGCCTGCTAGGACTGATAGTATGTTATGAATTTGAACTGCTTGGCTTCTCTGCCAAGATCACAAGATTTTCTAGAAATGCTTGTTCATGGTGAAACTTGTAAATCTTTTTGTTATCTTCTTCATTTGGCATGTATTTGTGAAGGAAGTACTGTTAATGTAATCCTACATTATGTATGAAGTTCATACCCGTAAATAATGTCGTGAATTGACTTGAAATGCATACAGAATGACTCTCCTTCCGAATCTCCGGCGGATATGGCGCTGGAGATTGCGCCGGAAGCGTGCACGGTGCCGGACGACGCCTCTCACCCTCTCCCCTTCTTCTCCTCTCCCTTCGTGCTTACTGCCGTCGTCGCCGCACTTCTCTGACTGCATCAATCTGCCACCGATCGTTCCTCTGTCGCCCCGTCGTTCGACGCAGTCGAGGCCCGCCGGCGCCATTGTACGCGAGTTGTAGGAGGGACGAACGCCGGCGAAGAGAAACACGGGAGGAAGAAGATGACATTCTGATTCAACCCAACCCTAACACGCCCTGGACCTGACCACAAAAAAAATATATTTTGCAATTATTTTTCTCCAAAGTATTATAAATTAATAAATTACATAAGTTTTTCAACAATTCCGTTGTCGTCCAGCGGTTAGGATATCTGGCTTTCACCCAGGAGACCCGGGTTCGATTCCCGGCAACGGAAGTAATTTTTGCTTTTTCTTTTTTCCTTTCTTTTTCATTTAGTTGGTTATGAAATTATTTTCTTATTTATGATTATTTAAAAATAATAATTAGAGTGAAAATTCTTTGAAGAAAAAAAAACACTAATTCAATTAAATTATTTATTATCAATAATTTAAAACCTAAAAATAAGCTTCTTTTTAAATGTAAATTCCTAATAATAAAAAGTAGTTTATTATATGCTAATAAAAAAAAACAAAAAAAGAAGCCAAGTATTAGAATCCTAGGAAAAAACACGGCAAAAGAACTCGGGCACGAGCAGGTAATTACCGGAGCCATCAGGTGCTAAATTCGAATACTAAATCTCAAGTATCAAACATTACGATATTCCCGTAATTTTCAAGTACTTTCATTCTAAAACGACTCTTATTCGACTCTCCTCCGAGAGCCCAACCTAGACGAAAAGGAGGAACGTTATAGAAACAAACACCAAGGGAGATTTGAATCAGACACAATTTTTGTTTTCATTGGTTAACATGAAAAAAAAAAAAACATAAACTACAAATTAGAATGTCAATAATAATCTAACAAGACCAACATAATCCAAACTCAATCCCACTTAACCTACACATTTCACAAGTAATCTAACAAGACCAGTGTGAAAATTTACGACTAAACTTCACTCGCTCGCTCACTCACCCGCGCATCAGATCGATGTCGATATGGGCATTGCGCATGTCCAAAGACTGCGATGACGGCCACATACTAACCGAGGATGTCGATGTCAGATTCTGATTCTGTTGCACGTTTGCTATAGCAACTGCATGATCTACTGCCTGTTGATCCGAGTCAATCACGCCTTCAATAGCTTCCCTCTTCTTGTACTTCGACTTCGAACCACCCCACATGAAGCTCCCTACGATTACCTACAAATTCATGTTTCAATTCATCCGTAAAACTAGACGACTATTAGAGGAATTCGAGGACTCCGTGTGCAGTAGTTTGATTATAGTATTCCGACGTAAACCAAGAAGCTACCTGAACCGGGGTTGCTGCGATAAGTGCTCCTCCTACTCCGCCACCAACGACACGACCATCAGGGCTGGCAAGGGAGACACTCAGACCACCACTGCGGTTCCGAGAACCAACAGCTTCTCCAAGAGCATATGAGCCTGATAGACATATTATCTCAAAACGCCCCTACAGTTAATAAATGACGCTCGTCAAAGTTGCTATAGTAATACGATACGATTCAAACGAGAGAGGTGAGGAAAAAACGATCAATACCCTCCCCCTAGCGTCTAAATCTCACGATAGTCACCTAAGTTTCTTCACAACGAAACGTTACGAGCTCAAATAGTTGTCCCGTGATTACATTTTCTTCATAACAAGTCAAAGATCTACAGAGTGCTTAATCAACGACGTTAACACAGGTGATCAGACAAACCTCGTATGTGACGGTGCCTCCCGAACTCGAAGGCTGACGAAGTGTAACAGTAGAGACAGCACCATTTGCTGACAAGATGCAGACAACTCTCGGTCCCTGCTGCGAAAACGACGTAATTTTGGCAGCAATATCCTACATACACAATTCCCAGATGAAAATTATAGACATTTTGTCATAAATTAGCCATTGAAATAAACAGATGATTCAACATACTTCTCCTACTCCAATGGTGATAACATGTGGAGTAAAACCCATCCCAGCTGACCCAAAAAGTGTTTCACCTGCACAAAATTGGAACCCATTTGAGTTAATAAGCTTCCAAATCATTCGAGCTTGCACGAGAAGCTTGCACCGTTCCAAACAAGAGACCCAAGCCCACCGCTAGCAGATATTGTCCTCTTTGAGCTTTCCCCTAAATGTTTTAAAACGTGTCTATTAGGGAGATGTTTTCACACCCTTATAAGGAGTGATTCGTTCTCCTCCCCAACCGAGGTGGGATCTCACAATCCACCCCCTTCAGGGCCCAGTGTCCTCACTAGCACTCATTTCCTTCTCCTACCGATGTGGGACCCCCCAATCTACCCCCCTCAGGGCCCAGCGTCCTTACTGGCACACCACCTCTTGTCCACCTCCCTTCAGGGCTCAGCCTCCTCAGTGACACATCGCCCGGTGTCTAGCTCTGATACATTTGTAATAGCCCAAGCCCACCGCTAGCAGATATTGTCCTCTTTGGGTTTTCCCGTCCGAGCTTCCCCTCAAGGTTTTAAAACGTATCTGCTAGAGAGAGGTTTCCGCACCCTTATAAAGAATGTTTCATTCTCCTCCCAACCGAGGTGGGATCTCACAATCCACCCCCTTCATGGCCCAACGTTCTCACTGGCACTCATTTCTTTCTCCAATCGATGTGGGACCCCCCCAATTCACCCCCCTCAAGGCCCAGCGTCCTTGCTAGCACACCACCTTTTGTCTACCTCCCTTCAAGGCTTAGCCTCCTCAGTGACACATCGCCCAGTGTCTAGCTCTGATACATTTGTAACAGCCCAAGCCCACCACTAGTAGATATGGTCCTCTTTGGGCTTTCCCGTCCGGACTTCCCATCAAGGTTTGCTAGGGAGAGGTTTCCACACCCTTATAAAGAATGTTTCGTTCTCCCTCCCCAACCAATGTAGATCTCAAATCTAAACACGTTTAGGAAACTGTTCGAGGAACAAGTTCGATCATTGTAAGTTGCTAAACATAGCCACAACACATTATGCTTAGATCTACCTAGATGAAAGTTAAGGGACCAAATGAAAGTATAGCAATCTAGATAGATTTTAAGCCTAAAAGGGAAAGAACAAAGCTATAATTCAAACACAAACATAGAAATTGTTCATGAAAGACAATTTTCAAACATTGTATTAAACAAGTAAACAATCAAACCATTATTGCTACAAGAAATCTAATGTGATAAAGTGGCAAAAGGATTCAAGAAAAGCATACCAAGAGAAGCCAATTGTTGCTTCTTTCCCGAGCCAGGCGGGCGACCCCTTCCCCGCTTCGGTGAAGAACCTACAATGGCTGGATTCACAGCAGAAGGGGAAGGAGAAAGTGCCAAAGACACAGTCCCTTCAGTTCCATACTTGCGAGGCCGACCTCGCTTCCGTTTCACCGGTTCGCTACCCATCATTCCACCAGATTGAGCCCCAACATTGCCACCATAAGGTGAAAGGGCAGGGTTAGGGTCCATTGGCAACCCTGATCCAACATTGTTCCCACCAGTGTTGGTCTGAAATGCCACATTTGGGTTAGGAGAGGAACGCAACCCCTGTCCTCCGGAGCCAGAGTTACTCATTCCCCTCTGTATATAGAAAGATTGTGACCCAGAAAACGACGGATCCCGCCGATCCATGTAATTACTTCTTTGAAATCTCAACAAAAAAGGGTCAATGTTCTAATCGGAAGAACAAGAACAAGAACAGTAAGAACAGCTACAAGAATTTAAACTAACATGCATAAACTACAGAAACAGAGGAGAAAAGGGGAGAATCATAACAAAAGAGTAAAAGGGGGTTTGATTTAAAAGCTTGAGGGTGAAGACAAAGGGAACAGAGGACCTAATACCGGTCCACAACCATCAAAACGTTATCAAAAACCTTAAATATCAAGCATCTTTTCAGGAAAAAAGAAACGAAAAAGGGCTGAAAGTAAAAACCCAGAAACGAAAACCACTCAAATCCCACAAACTTTGAGAAATCTAAAGGAAAAAGCGGCAAAAACAGGACAGAGAATGAAAAGAACACTCTCAAGTTATTAAAAAACAACAAAAAGCAAAACACCCATTGAAGAACATGCAAAGAAGAAGACGAAGAACAGAGATTAGAGGAGAAAAACAGAGGGAGAAGGGTAATGTGGAAAAAAGAAAAAGGGTTTTGGATGAATACCCATTGAAGAACAGTAATTACTACAAAAACCCAGAAGGTAATAATTCAATACGGAATCGATGAGCACAAGTCCTTATCAGAATACACTTTTCAAGGCCAAGAACAACCTCTTTCACTCTGTTTTTTACTCTCTCTCTCTCTGTTCTTTGTGCTTGTGATTAACAGAGAAATGGTGGAAATGGGTTGATTTTGCTTTACGAAGAGGACGGAATTTTTAAGAAAAAGCAAATAAAATCGCTTAACAGAGAAAGCGGCTTTGATTTGTGGATAACACTTTCTTCTTCTTCTTCTTCTTCTTCTTCTCTTTCTCTCTGTTTTTATGTTTAAATTCAATTCATCCTTGCAGTGGATGACACGCGCTTCTGAGCGCGTTGTTAAAGAGCATGTGATGTGATTTGCTAATTATGAGATTCGCATGAGCACCAGCACATACTCACTCGCCCACTGATTTTTGGATTTTTTTTTTTTTTTTAAAATATGCTAAGCTGTAGAAAATATCAAAAAATACATTTTAAAATTTCCAAATATTTTTTAATTTTTAAAAAAATTCAAAATTTTCTCCACCATTCATTTTCATTTTTGGACAAAATTTTCAAAAATATTCTTCCATTTTCAAAATTTTATCCTTAAATTTTCAAAATTTTGACGGTTAAGACGTAAAAGCGTTTATGTTGGTCCTTTGATTATGGTTTGACTCGGTTACCAATAAGCTTGAACATCTCTTCCATTCTCGTGGTTTTGTTAAGCTCGGATTTATCCACTTATTGAAACTCCTTCTAATGACCTATGCATGACATTAATCCAATTTGAGGAAGAAATGAACTCTTTCCATTTTGTTTTAGGGCTTGTAGCAGATTCATGAATTGACGAAGAGGAACGAAGCAGCGAGAGGAAGTAGCTCGACTCGAAGAGGAGAGGGAGGTAAGTAGCTCGAGATCATTTCGAGGGGATCGGCTAGATCAAGACTAGGAGAGATGATCTCCAGAACGAGAAGAAATTGAATCCATACACTCGATCCATTGCTTCTACCCCTTCCCAATGCAGCCAGCCCGAGACCCAGACTCAAATTTCAGCCAATGTAGTTCAGATGCAGCCTAACGACTAAGTGAAGGTTGGGAGTGGGCTGCTCAGGTACGATCTAAAACGATCCCACATTCTAGAAAGAACCAGACAATGGGAAGCGGACTAGTCCCCGAAAAAGCCTTGCCAACTATAAGAAATAGTTGTGGCTCAAAATCAATTGTTCCTAGGTTTGAGCATAAATTCTCGTGGTTTTGTTTTGTTGTTTCTCTAAGAAACCCCCATAACATTGGAGATAATGTCACTTACTTACATACTCACGATCTTTCTCTTAATTAGCCAATGTGGGACGTGAATAATAAATGCATTTTTTTTTTTTTATTTTCCAAAGTTTAAGGGTTAATATTAATGATTTAAATTAAATAAATAAAATTATTATTCTAACCTTTTTATTTTCAATGATTATCATTCAAAACTTCTTCATTTGGCCATACTATGATGCCCAAATTAGAGTGGTTATGACCGTGTTGCCCTTAATTTATTACCCTAATTATGTTTTTCGGATTTAATTTTTTTATTAAAACTCATATTTTAAATACTTTTTATTGAAAAAAATAAAAAATATATAGTTTTTTTAATGTAAATTTTGTGTTAGCCATAATAATTTTTAAAATAATTATCATAACCAAAAATAGTATTTGACTATTTTTGTGTGTTGTTTTTTCATGTTTTTATTAAATTTAATGTTAATATTATACCTATTTAAATCTGTAATACTTTTAAATTAATTTTAATAAATAATTACAGGAATATAAAAATAAAAGTTTTTGTTTTTTAGTTATTTCTTGCAAGTTTGAATTCCCTCCTTTACATTTAAAATATTTGTTAAATATATATTTTAATTTTAATTTTTCTAGTATTTTGTGCTAAAAAAATTAATATCTATTATTTAAAATTTAAATTGTCAATTATTTAGAAATTACTAGCTTTTAGAATATAATTTAATTTTTTTAAAAAACTTAAAAGACTAAATTAAAAATTAAGAAGAAAAAACCTATATAACTTTATATATATTAAAAAATAATTTATTATCTATCGTAAGATCTTTTATTATGTAATAATAATTTTTTATAATTTATAAACCTATTTTATGAAATATGGTGACCAAATTGTTATGTATTAAAATTAAAAAAATTAAATTTTTAAAAATTAAAAGTAAATAGACAGATTACAAACTAATATTTAAAGATTAAATTGTAACCTTTTAGAAAATTTTAGGGGCAAAAGTGTCTTTTTAACCAAGAAAAAAAAATTAAATTATAAATTTAATCCCTAAATTTGTTTGTGTATATTTATGTCTAGCAAAGTGTCTAATAAAATTACTAAATTTAAAAAATATTTAATAAATTTTTCAATTTTACACCTACTTAAATTTTATAAAATTTAATTAATTTAGTAAATATAAAATTAGAATAGAATGTCTTACTAAATATAAATTAGAAAATTTAAATGCTTAGTATAAAGATAAATTCAAAAATTCAATAACTAAAATTTTGATTTAATTTTATATTAAATACTTTTAAATTTTTCATAAATCTAAAAATGAAAAAAAAAAGGATTTTTATAATGTGAGTGAGATATGAAAGAGTGTGAAATCACGCGCCATAAGAGCGCGTGAATGAAAGTGGTGAGGGAGTGGGGCCCAGCCACCGTGAGAAGCTGGGTTTGTTTGCATGTGACAGCCTTTTTTGAAAAAGAAAAATGAATTTTCCTCTCTCTCTCTCTCTCTCTCTCCCCACTGTGGGCCCCATCTTAAACTCACAATACTTAGAGTATAAAAAATATCTTTACGTTAGCATTGATAACCTCACCTACCCCCCCCCACACCACAAAACGTTTACATCACCCACCTTTTACACCCTTCTTTATTCCAAATTCATTCTCTTTCTTTCCCTCTTCTACTTAAACTTCTCTTTTTAAATAATTCTATTAGTTAATTTTTTTTTTTAGGTTATAAATAATAATAATAATTATTATTATAAATATTTAAGATAGCTCGAGTTTCGACCTATGCATATAACAGCCTAAGTCCACCACTACCAGATATTGTACTGTTTGAACTTTCTCTTTCGGGCTTCTCCTTAAGATTTTTAAAATGCATTTGCTAGGAAGAGGTTTTCGCTCTCGTTCCTCTCTCTAATCGATGTTGGGATTTCACAATGCACTTATCCCACAATCGTAGGTGCAATAATATAAAATAATTTTTTTTTTTCAAAATTAGAGATAAAATAAACATTTTTAAAAAATTAATAAATAGATTTTTGAAAGTTTAGAATAAAATTTTTATATATATATATAAATGTGAGATTGATTCTATTATATAATAAATAATTCGCCAGAAAAATAAGACACGGGTGGCCAACAAATTATGCTTTTCTGAAACCAACAAACAAGATCCATTAAAATATTATTAATTAAGTCAAAACGTTGACGTCACTTTTTCTTTTTAATTATTTTATCTTATTCTCACATGTGGCTTGTTTTATTTTATTTTATTTACGGTCCATTCAAATATTATTTTTGTCACGAACTATTTTATTTTTATTATTATCCGACTCAACTAATTAAAATATATATATTTAATCGACAGACTAGAAGATTCAAGAGAGCGTTATAATACATCTTCAAAAGCTAGCTAATGTATCAGTTGAAACAAAAATTTTTAATCGAAAAAATTATTTTAGTATATGAAAAAAAAATTTGAACCCAAAAATTTTTATTTTCTTATCAAGATTTTTTTTTCATTTTTATTTAATAGTTTTTATTGATAATCCGGAGTGAACTCTATTATGTTTGGAATATCTTTTCAGCGTATGTAAAGATATATAATATTAAGTTTAAAATCATGCTCAATACAAAAATCATGTGTTTTTTTAAACTTTTTTGGTGTTATTCTTTTTTTCATACGTGCTTTAGGTTTGAAGATAAACCGATTTATTGGATTAATTTTTATCAAGCTAATTTTGGAGTACGTCGTTCTCATATTTAAGAGAGACCATCATAGATTTCAAGTTTAATCTGAGTTATTTATTCTTATAACCAGCTCTTAGTTGGAATCATTCATTAAACTAGTTTTACTTGTGAAAGTTTGCAAGGATACTAAAAAGACCTCTGACTTTGTAAATATTAGAAAAGACACGAAAAAACTAATCCAGTATTGTTGGTGCTTATCAAATCTCTATAAATTTGTACGGTTTAAGGTAGATGTTCGAATCTCTCCAAGAGTAGAAGATGTTGTATTAGGTTTGATTTGTTAATTTCGACGAATCAACATCTATAAATTTGAATTTAAGGTTTAGGGTAAATGTTCAAATTCCTCAAAAAAAATTTATCGGGTTTAATTTTTTCGACTTTATCGAACCAACCTCTATAAATTTGGATTTAGGGTTTATGGTAAATGTTCGGATCCATCCAATAATCAAAAGATCAACTATAATGGGTTCGATTTATTAACTTTAACGAACCAACCTCCATAAATTTGAATTTTAAGTTCCTTTAAAAATTAAAAGATCAACGGTATTGAGTTTGATTTGTAAACTGTGACGAACTCGCCTATATAAATTTGGATTTAGGGTTTAGGGTCGAAATCCTTCCACACATTAGAAAATCAATTGTATTTTTCAGATTGAATTTAGGTTAGATCTTCGATTCGGTTCAAAAATTACAAGATTAATTATATTGGGTTTGATTGCGGACAAATTAATAAATTATATTTACATAATATTATAACCGATTAAATTATTTTCATGTTTATTATAAAAATAAAATAAAATAAAAATAACGTTTTGGTTATTTGTTGCACGTGTTTTTTAGGTGGGAAAACAAATGATTTTTTTTAAAATTTAATTTAATAAAATAAAATATTTATTATTTAATATTTTTAATGTCTTGAACAATATATTAATAAGTCTTGGTACTTGTAAATTTTAAATATGCATTTATTTATTTATTATTATTATTATTATTATTATATTATTTTTTTGCCCTTCATTAATTTTGGATAAGGAGTGTCCATTGTGGGGGCAAATTGGTACAGAGAGCCTTAATTTCAATTCGGATAGGGACGAAGAATGAATATAACGACCTTATTGTCTTAATAAAATAAAGACGACTGTAAATTATTTAACAAAAATAGATAATAATACGTATTTTTATCTCCTTAACTTAATACGTAAATATTTATGTGGTAAAAGTTATTGACCTAAAACATATATCGTC